GCACGCCAGAACAGGTGTCACCCAGTGTAAAAAATCAGTATGGATTTTTTACAAAAGCCACGCGGGACCGCTGTCCATACAAAATTAGACTAGGGTGAGAGATAGATGGAGCGGGAGAGTGTACTGAAAAAGTCCCGCATGCCTTCAACGCCGATAGCGATGTCGATACCCCACGGAGCCCCTCTGGCCAGCGCTACACACGTAGTTCACGTCGACAATAATGGACGACATGGACGACGTAGCCGCGTTCTGGCAGCACCATGCTGAGGGTTTCTGTCCACAGGGCAACCCGCTCAAAGTTTGNGGTTGTGGGGTATGCACTGCTGTGTATGTGTGCCAGGAAATGTGTACGAGGCCAGAGTGGTGGTGGGAGTGCCACACGAACGACACCTATCTGTCTGCGGCCTGCTGACACTTTAGGCCGGAAAGAGAGGCACGTTGTGTTGTTGTGTTGAATACTTCACATATACGACCTGCAGCTGTTGACACAACTTAGACACCGCGAGAGAATCGGCGTTTTTAGACTTTGACGTTGTTGGTGTCCTGCTGCTGTCAGCAGACAAAGAAGCTTGTGATGAAAGCTTATTTGTGCGGGAAGTACGCCGACGGGCGTGTCGGCGGATCAGTTATATGTGTAGTCTATACATAGTTCTGGCGGGGGGGTTGTTATCGTCTGGGTCGACATGTTCACAGCCTGTCATCAAACGCGCTACAGCAGTAGCAAAATTGCTGGTGCTATGTTCCACTAAATTTTAGTCGGACAACATAAAACACCTCGCGGCGTGACCTGACCTTCCGAGGGACAAATTCTCGTTGTNATCAGTTACATGTGTAGTCTATTCATAGTTCTGGCGGGGGGGTTGTTATCGTCTGGGTCGACATGTTCACAGCCTGTCATCAAACGCGCTACAGCAGTAGCAAAATTGCTGGTGCTTTTGGTGTGTCCCTGTGTATGCTGGAAAGGCTGGTTGTTCACGTGCTGCTGCTAATGGTGAAGGGTTGGGTCAACATTCCGTAACACCTTCGTTGTTCAAAAAAAATAGGGACACGAGTTCGTCACGGTTGTTGTCAGTCGCGCGGAGCAGGGCGGACTTGCACTTCGGGTGTCACAAATGAATCAACATAAATAAATTAAAAAAAAAAGTTTGGCAAGAAAGACATTCGGAAACATGGTTTCATGTGTCTTGGTTCTTTTGCGAGAGTTTATTTCGTCTGTCCTTGAGGAATATCTTGGAGGTTCACGAGGATTCCGACAGGTGCACGAGAACATGTGCGTTCAATTCGTTTGGCATTCGAATTAAGCTCATTTATCCCACCTCACATCAACACAAGAAAAACGGGCACGAATATTCTGTCCGACGAGGTCAAGCGAAAACTCCCCGCTGGTAGGGTTCTGGTGCGACATGAAGTTGTCCAACGATGGCAGCGCGGCGCGAGCCTCTGCCGACAACGAAACTCCACGCCCGATGTCTTTTGACATCTTGTTGCGCCTCGTGAAGTGGTCGGACGTTTCGTAGTCCTCCATCCCCCTTTCCGTCCACACCACCTCCTCGTCAATGCTCTCCTCCTCCAGCTCTGGGGGTGGCGACTTCCTGGACTTGGACTTTTTCTTCCGCTTGGGGTTGGTGGCTTCCTTCTTCTTTTGCCGTTCATATCGGAGCTGCGTTCAACACATCCAGCGAATAAACAAACGTGAACAGCGATGGTTGGGACAAAAAAAGAACAATTGGTGAAAATGCGGACACACGCCCGAATCACAACCATCAGCGTATCACAACGGGCGTGAGGCGGGGGCGTGGAAGTAGGCCACACGTTTTCGGACTGAACAATGTGCAGCAGCAAATATTCCTGAAAACCGTCGTGGACAAGCGACAGTACAACGGCGTCGACCACGACGGAACCATTGCGTACAACCAACGACGAAGGGGCGTTGTACGTGATACGAGAAAATGAGTTGCATTACACAACACCGCAGCAAAAGACCCGCGGAAACAATGAATATATCACAAGAGGCCATTGCAATTATGTGTCACTGCCCCAAACAAAGCTCGTCAACCAGAAGTTCAACCCGGTACGTACTCTTATTTTGTGCATATCTTAGTGGTTAGACCATTGACCACACGTCCTCGAGAGGACGGAGTATTGTTCCCAGAGGACCGAAGACCGATTTGCCAATCGTTCCCTCCTACTTTACCAAAAAAAAGGTGTCTCAAAAATGTTGTCCCTAGCCTATCTATCCTATCGATATTACGTCCCGCCTCTTCAACCCACGTTCTATGCCCCAGTACAGCTACAATGTACCTAGCTGGCATTCCATGCCTCAAACATCTCCCTGTATTTTCCATATACTTTTCCCAAGGCTCAGTCACGAAAAATCTCCTCTCCTACAACAGACATTCCGCAACTACATGAACCCGGTGTTCGCATTCGGAGCCACGTTCACATTTTACCTTGGTCGATGCGGAGGAGGGGGGGGGGGGGCAGGTGCTTAGCCTTGTTGTACAAGGCATACCCCTCATCGCGTGTCATTGGGGTGCCTGTCACGCTGCGTGCCATGCACGAGAGCCATATCTTTACCCCTTGAAATATTGAAAGAGCTCGGCCAGCTGTAAATGTTGAAAGGAGGTGTAAGTCTTGATCGACACTCAGAGGCCATCAAAGAGCATGTCATTGCTGGCAACTGCCCACTCAGTCAGTCTGGGAGGCCATCGAGTCGGTGCGGGGGCGACGAAAGCTTGCCGACACCTCTTCCTTCGTCGCACCCACCAGTTTTCGAATTCAAGCGTCTAAATCCGCTGCTCTTGACAGTTCGTTGCTGCATGTGGAGTACTCGTAAAGCTGAGCATGGGCTGCGGCTGCCTCAGAAGCGTACCCGCCACCTTTACGACTACCGTATGCACTTCGAGCTACATGTACACCAAGACGCGCCGCATGAATGCCGTTGGACAAGCACAGTGAAGATGTGGGTGTGGTGGTAGGGTGGTGGGCTTTGCTTGAGGGGAGTGCGCCGTAGAGCAGGGAGGAGGTCCGGCATTCAAAGAGCAGGGTGATGGTCGCAACGTTGCGACGACGGGCGTTAGATAGAGCGGGGAGGGCAATCACGAACGTGGCCCTTATGGACCCCATAATGGTTCAACGTGTTTACCCCGTTGCGTCTTTTGTTCAGGCGATACCGCGTCTGTATTTAACTCTACCCTATCGTGATTTGCGGTACGTCGATATTCCAGAGGTCTCTGTTGAGCGACCTTCTATTATTATACTCTTTTTATGAACATGCTCTCAAGTATCATGCTGAATCCACCCAGAAAAGAAAAAAGTCCTCCGAATGAGGCCCTCGGCGCAGAACAAGTTCAAGAACCCCGTGAATCATACGGATATGCCTGCTCGAAATAAGAACTTTGAAAATAAGAACAGGTGCTCAATTTGAGGCAGCCAATAAGCATCGAGCCTTGGATAAGCGGTTCTTAAGTGCGGGCGCCATCTGTATAGCTGCTGCGGCAACTTCATACCGTCTCATACCAGATTTCGTAGACTACAAGAAGACCCGTAGGTCGCAGAGGTGAAAACAAGAAACACGGGTATGTGTTTGTACAACTAAGAGAAATACTTCCCCGATGGTGCTATGATAGCTGCCGATGTGTGCAAAACGACGCGCAGCGCATGAACACAGTGCCGGCCCCCTCGTAAGAATCACCTATTTCAGGAGAGGCTCAAACCNAAAAGTTATGGCCCTATTACCATCGCTGTGAAGTATACTTCACGCCACTAAAACCCACATATCTCAGCAACCACGCCGAACCCCGCGCAAATTTTTGCAGCTATCGAAAGCTCTCGTCCACGCCTTTTTTTTCGCGGTGGAACCATTCCCCGAACCGGCGGGCAAAGTCCCGCAAAAATACAAAATTCCTCCTGTCGTGCCAAACATAAATGATGTATTATGCACGAAATGATCAACTCTTCTTTACATATGGTCTGTGCTGCCCACTGAGGGGAGAGATATAACCATACTCCCTGCCTACACACGGACGAGAGAGATGACCAACCCATTACATTTGAACACACGAACACCCACATATCGGTGATGGAACCTCAACCACACGCCTTACCTACGACCGACCACGTCAGGAGGCAATGATGAAAGAATGTTCTCCCGTGCCCTTCGCACATTTATGGGCATGAAATTACACAAAACTGGGAGACCACTCCCGTGTGCCGCACAATTTGACACAGATGCATGCATATGCATACCAAACTCAATTACTTACCAAATCATATTCCTCGCGTTAAATGCATACCAAACTGGAAATACACGTGTAAAATGGATGGAGATCCACAACCAACAGGGTGCCACACATAAAACACCCAACTAACTAACAGCCCAACACTTTTCGTCTACACCTTCCCAACATAACATATATAAGACACACAACACAGCTACCAAACTGTCTTGTTGAGCCTGTTATCCGCAGGGGAGATGTCCATATATGCTGTCTGGGAAATCGTGGACACACAACAGGTAGTTTTCTTTGACGCTATGATTCCATTGCTAATCTGTCTTTGACTCTTTTCTCTGACGGAAATGGACTCGTTGTGTTGTATTTGGA